TAATTACTTAATACATAAAAAATTAATAAAAAAAAAAAGTCAGAGCTGCCTTATGACCGCAGCCGGGGTAAAGGAAAATGACCGCAGCCGGGGTAAAGGAAAAAGAGCTGCATGAGATTTCCTCCCTGATTTCTCCCCTCGCCTCTTAACTTTTTGTTGCTGCATGTGGTTCTGCATTGTGGTTGAGAAAAACATGCAAATTTCAACCTTTGAAATTTGATTGCATGAGAAATCTTGTGACAGTCAAAAAGGAGTTGAAAATGCATGTAAAGTGTAGAGTTGGAAGTGATGGTTATTTGGCAAGAAGGTGCAGCCGAAAATCTTAACAAAAATGAATTTTGCTCCTGCATGTATCCATGAAATTAAAGGATAAAACTTTGAAGGCCATTGCATTTATTGTGAATGGTTGGATTTTGACCTTGTAGATCATTTCATTAATTTTGGGCGGTGGATTTTTGGCTATAAAAGCCACTTGGCCATTAGGCAAACACACAAAGAAAAGCAATCCAAAGCAAAATAAGCCCTAAAAAATACAAGAGTTTTGTGGGTGCTTTCGACGAGAGTGAGTAAGAATAAAATGGTTAAAATTATTTTGTTGAGTGCTTTTTAAGTATGTCTTATATTTAAAAATATTGTGAGTAAGATTTGAGTATAATTAGAGATTAAATATTTTTTTTAGAATACCATAAATTATATCTTTTTATTTTAATAATAAATTTTTCTTTATGAGTGTTGTAAATATAGGCTAAATTAAATTAGAATTTAACCACATAAATTCTGACTTTTTTACCGTGATGTATTTCTTATTCCATTAATTTTTTAATTTTGTAATGACTTAACCAAAATCTCAATCAATTTGTTCCAACACTTTTTCCTCTCTAGAATTCAAGGATATTGGGCTGTGGATTGCGGCTACTTTCCCACTCCGTGATTGCAGTCCGACCATGATGAGCATGCCACTTCTTCGATCGATCAATCTTGGGTATATTGATTACTTGATTTAATAGGCTTCCACACTCTAGATCTTTTCTTACATTCTTCATCCAGAAATAAGAACTAGACTGTTTTACAGGCTACTTGCACGGAGGGCAAGCAGGAGATTCTATAGCAATGCCAAAAGATCAGTTCCAGAAAGCAGAGGGGATCACCATGAAATATCCGGCTTATATCGGAGGACTGCATTGAAGGAGGAAATAGCCACAAGAGTCCTTAAAGAGAGAGATGCCATCTGCATATACAGAGTCCCTGAAGAGAGAGATGGCATCTGCCAATACAGAGTCCCTGAAGAGAGAGATGGCATCTGCATATACAGAGTCCCCATTAATATACGTGAAGTGGAACCAAAGGCCTATTCTCCCA